CATGCAATAATTTGTAAAACTAATTTGCGGCCTTCTTCTGATTCTTTGCAAAATTCTTCTTCGAAATGTTTAATTTGATCAATTTTTTTAAGGTGATTTTGAAGGGCAGCTCCTTCTGCTTTTCCGCGTTCGTCAGCAGGGACTTTTTGGCTGGCTTGGAAATCTCCTTTGCGATTACTTGGATGTGGCACGGGGACGACATGAAGGGGTTGATTCGGCCGTGGGCCTTAAACGTTCTTCTTCGTCCTGCGCGGGCTCTGTTGACCATCACGTGGATTAGCCTCAGCTTGCTCACTTCCAGGTTTCTTGCCTAGAGCGCACAAAAAAAGGGGGAGGATCGCGAAAATGAAAAGATAAAAAATACGCATAGGAGGGTAAAAAAAAAAAAAAACTATTATGCGGATTCTTCCATCCTCTACCCTGCCAAGTCTCAAAATGTGGTGGGTGCAGGACATTTCTTCCCGCGGACTCAGACATAAGCGCCCATACATGCACTCAACTAATCAGGTATAAAATTTTCACGTCTGCTCCAAAAACTACAGTGGAGTGCGTCGAACTCATACATGCACGCATTTCAAGAGAGCACGGCGCACACACACACCTCCTCCCCGTCGGTATGCACAAACGGCCACTTTCCATTTTAATTCTTTTCTTCTTTTTCAGCCAAATGCCTCAAATAATCATTCTTTAAAAATAAAGAAATCGATTCATTACGAATTAGTAAATACATAAAACATGCACTTAAAAACGGTAATAAATGTTCTTTACTTTTTCATACTCGTCATCGTATCATCATTAAAAAAAAAAAATTAAATTGAAAAGCGGCCTTCAAGGAAGGGGAAGACAAACGACGGGTCGGATGGGTCGAACGAGTCGTACGGGTCAGCATCGTGATGCCATGATTTGCCAAATTTCCACTTGCGCTAGTCACACGTAGAGGTGTCAGTCATTACCTCTGCATTGGCCTGCACATTATCCAAGACGTTTAATAAAAACTTGCACGATTTCGCGGGCCACCTGCCCTGTGTATGGTTAAACTCCTTAGCTTGGTTGGTTCTTCCAACACCTCCGTTGTACCTACGAAACGGCACACACCTCTTCTTCTCGATGACGTCATTGAGGTACTTTTTCGCGTCCAGCAATTTCATTCTCCTTATAGCCCTCGCCGTTTCATAGGTGTTTTTGAAGTGGACTCTTAAATCCATTCCAGCCCCCTTGGCGCCTACAAAAAGAAGAAAAAAATGGAGACCCGCCAAATCATTCCGGGAAAAAAATGACGAAAGGAGTTTTACATGATTATATGTCATGCGCGCCGTTCGGCACAAGGCTTCTATGCCTTTATGCGAGCACAACTCCCATCAGGTCAACAGGTCCAACAGATGAAGGCTGCCATTCCGTTCCCCTCTCGGACTGTTTCTTTTCTCTCCCCCGTGTCGTAAAACTTCCACCATATCCTCTCATCCTTTGAGTGCAAAAATCGGGATGAGGAACAATCTGGTGTTTTTCATTTTTCTCTTCCTTTCCTTTCTTTTCTTTTTTTTTTTTTTTCTTCCCTCTTGCTTACATTTCCCATAGTCCCTCAATTTCTTCGCGTACTTAACCATTTCCAAAAAAATTGTAAACGTAACACGAAAAGAAGTTAAAAAGTAGTACTATACAGGGGAATATACAAAAATAGCTATACAGAAAAATGCACGTTCTTTTTTATATGTTGTTTATTCCGGTCTGTGGAAAAAGCTACTACATAAATGAAGCTTCCTTCTTCACATTTAAAATTCGAAAAAAAAATTGCTCATTGTTCGTAAAAGTTTTTCAGATAAATTGAGATTTTTTTCTTAAACAAAGAAACAAGAAAAATAAGCAACAAAACAACACCTTTTTTTTTTTCCGTGTATGCGTTGACTCATCGCACAATTTATGGGCACTTCAACCCCTGAGTATATATGCAGGAGGAAAAGTAATAATATCTGCTTATAAAAAAAGGCGACTATATAACGTAATAAAAACAACGGAAAGTTGGATTGCCATTTTGATGCGTATCGAAAAGTTTGCAAAAGATTTTACGCTGCTTCAAATGCATATATATTTTTATACGTACATATTTGCGTACTGAATGCATATGGGGGGAAAATGTTTGACTTTAATTTGTGAAAGGGGTAGGGTCGCCACCCTTCCTCCTCTTGCTACTTATTTTGGTGCGTAGTATACATAGCATATTATATTACATATATATGTACCTTCAGTGGATAAAGAAAAAAAAGAAAAAATATATATATTATATATATATCGTTACTGCTGTGCACGTGGCAGAATCTTTACGAATACGCTGCACTAGCGAAATCAAGCGAGCCGTTTTTGCCCCCTGCAACGGGGGAGAGCAAAGGGTTTTACGCATTTGAAGTATTCCCATTAATTTTTACCTCATAAAATTTCTCGCTGTATTTTCCCAAAAATTTCACCTCACGTCATGTGTTAAGGCATAGACCGTATGTTCACTTTAGTAATCCCACCATTTCGATCAAATGAGCAATATGAACGTATGTGCTTGCCTCCTCCTTTGGGCTTTTCTCAAGGGTTATTCATATAAGAGTATTCCCTCGCGGCATTGCGCGATCGGCTACCTGGCTTCCACATATGCGTACATATTTCACTCGATTGAAGGCTCCTTTGAATTTCCTTTCTACCGCAATACACTCAACAGGCACACGAAGTAACATTTAAAAAAGCACGCGAATTTTTAAAGGCAAAAAATGACTTTAACGAGCCAATCGGGTCAGGCAACACCCTGTCTCTTTAAATGGATATATATTTCCAAAATCACAAATGAGCAACCCATTCTATGTTATTAAAAGATCAGTTGGTGAAACTGTGTTCATTTCACGGGGGTGAATATTCCAGCACACCAGGGGTAAACACGGGCGATGCACATACGGCGCGCCCCTAACCTGTGTAGAAGCAATACTTATTTGTGTTTATCAGAAATTAGTAGAAATCACGTCTCTGCAAAAGGAGAACTACGGCCGGACGCACATACTGTTGTGGGTAACACCTTATAATGGGGCCGATTATGGCAACATATATCCGACCGCACATAATGCGGGAATTTTTTTTTTTTTTAAAAACATTTAAGTGAATATATCTTCCCCCAACTGCTTACGCCGTTTCTGTCAGTGGAAATATGAAACAGCTTCGATAATAGTGCCTGGAACAAGGAAAACATTAGCAGGGCGGTCGTCGTTTTCTTTTGCGAGCACACGCGGAAGTATTGTTCATGCAAAAATAGGTGCTGGACCGCGGGATACGAAGACGTGCGCAATTGCGGGGGGTATAAAAAAAAGACGCAGCAGTAAGGGGAAGCACCATATATCTGTGTGCGCGGATTAATCTCATACATTCATATGACGAGTTTTTCGCGAATGATTATTTAATTAACGAAAGAGTGCAGGAAGAAACGCTCTCCGATACCGATCGTATAAGACGCACCAATAGCTATTCTGATGCTCGTATTTTCTTTTTTTTTTTCAAATTGGCTGAGCTCCTTTTTTCATGCCGACAAAGGAGCATGGGAAAAAAACACTTCTTCGCACATTTATATTCTACGCCGTAAGAAAATCCCCCTGGCACACTTGACCTGCGTAAGAACCTATGCGAGCACCATATGCTCACCTGCATAAAATAATTCTCGGCGACGCACATTTCGAAATGAAGAATTTGCCTTGTAACATGAACAAAAAATTGGGTATGTAAAAATGTAATAGTTGCCCACTGCGTCATGTAAGGCCAACATCGTTTTAAAGACAAAATCGTTTTAAAGACAACGTCTTTTTAAAGCCAACATTCTTTCTGTTTAACCCTTCCAAAGGTGGCTCTCTCGTTAAAAAAAAGCCACGAACTGTGCAGCAAAGGTTATGCTTGAACGGAGAGCGCCGCTAAGTGCATTCTGCCAAATGAAAAAATTAACCTGGGGAACATGTGCCTTTAGTAAGGGCGCAAAGGGGGAATCCAAAAGGAAGAAAAAAATGCAATGTTCTTTGCACTTACACATTTTGCAAAAAGAAATACACCTGCATATATATTCGAAGGAACATGTCCGAGTAACTGGACCAAGGCAAAGGTATAAATAATTTTCCCTGTTCTGCATGCAACGAGCTAAAATGGCAAAGGGGGTGAACGTAGTGTTGTACAGCCGTTCATTCTATTTCGCCCCTTTTTAGCGGACTGACTGTGTCGCACCCTAAAGGACAGGTATGCATCTTGACATAAACGCAAGTGCATGGATAGCTAGGCGCATAAATATGCTTCCTCTGTGTGTGATTATTTAACGTATGCATTCGTTTGATTCCGCGGGCTGCCTCACAGAGTTGGATTTGTTCTGTTTTATTTTCTTTTCTTTGCTTTGTTTTTCTTTGCTTTGGTTTTTCTTTACTTTGTTTTTCTTTCCTTTGGTTTTTCTTTACTTTGTTTTTCTTTCCTTTGGTTTTTCTTTTCTTTGCCTTCCTTTCTTTGTTTTTTTGTCATCCCCGCATCCTCAACCGAACAATTGGCCGCAAATCGCTGAAATGAGTCCTCAATTTTGCTTCAACAGACGGGCCGCAGAAAAGTACCAGCAAAAGAATTTAGAATTTTCTGTTTCCCGACGTTTACTTGTTCTTTTCTGAACAACGAAAAAAAAAAATATGACTCGTTCATAATTTTTTTGCCATTTTGTTGCTTCTTTGTACTTTTTTTTTTTCTCTTTTTTTCATTTTCTTTTGTTGTTTCTCCCCTCAGCGCGTTCGATCAAAAAGGTTAAATCGATAATTCAATTTTTTTCCACCACGCCACTACACCCCAGGGGGCGCCGCAAAGAAATATACGCCCGCCGCTCTCAGTTCGTACCATACGTATGTTTGTATGTACATACGAGTACGTCCCGCCTTTTGCGCGTTTATTTTCCCCGCGGGACCCCCTTGGAAGAACGCAGCCAAAATTGCACAAAAGAAAAGTACAAGGGCGACGTTATGGCTAGCTGGTTAAAAGCAAACGCGCTATCCCCAAGGCTGCATGCATAAAGTGAAAGGGGTGCCTCCACACTGAGCGTCGGCCAATGTAACATCTTGTTTTAATGCTTTGTAAACTAAAACAAAACTTTTGCTTAATTTATAAACATGATTTGTCTTCGCCCCTAATAGCATTTTGTGCTTTACCAAGTTATGCGTTAGCGGAGCAGCCGTAAATACCTTTGAGAGGAAGGTGCCCAAGGAAAAAAAAAAAAAGAAGAAACAGGATAAGAAGAATAAGAAGAATAAGAAGAATAAGAAGAATAGGAAGAGTAAGAAAAGTAAGAAGAGTAAGAAAAGTAGGAAGAGTAAGAAGAGGAAGAAAAGTAAAAAGAGTAAGAAGACGAATAAGTGTAAGAACAGTAAAAACATTAGGAAAAATTAGAAGAGCAAAAGTAGGAAGATAGAAACGACGCACAAACGGCGGCAGCGCGGCCAGCACGAATCACAACCCAATGAACGCAAACGCGAAGCAACGACGCAAGGCGCACACCGACGAACTAAGGAAAAATGAGCGAGCAGTGCGTTCTAATACCGGGAGAATTTGGCGTGTTCGTGCAGGTCTTCATCGGGTGTGTGTCCATAGGTATACTGCTAACCAAGTACCTCTTCGAGAAGCCAAGAAGAACATTCATCAAATTTTTGAAGGACGTAATTGTTATCATATGTGGATCAGTAGCACTACACATAACAAACATATTTGCATGCATATTCATTTTCCGATACCACCTTCTATCCTATTTGTACAAAATTGAAATGGACGAATGCTCTATTTATTTTATTCAGATCATAATTGATGCTACATTGGGTCTCTACATACAGTATAAATTATTTTCATTATTTAAGTTTCTAAGATTTAGGAAAGAATACCTGCACAATGATTCTATAGCGTCTATATACAAGCCGATTGATGCTCTTTCTCATTATTCCTCCTTCGTCAATTTTGGCAACAGTAATGACGAACAGAAAGGGAAAGATGAAAAAAATGGGGGGACTCTGATAAGAACAAAAAAAGGCCACTCTGATTATGCTTACAAGACATCAAATGTGAAGGGAGGACCGCCACAAGGGGACAATTCCGATCTGTTTAACTCAAATGAAGCCACTGATGTGTCTTCCCCAAATGAGGATGGACTACATGGTTCAAACGAATTGGAAGTAACCAAATATAAGAAACCAGGAACCACGGAGAAAGGCCTACCCAATGTGGCCCCGTGCAAGAGTGTGGGAAAGCACTTCACCCCCGACGGAGGCGCGACAACCGGGGGAGTCAGGGTCCAGGGGCTGAGAAAAACGAATGAAACGAATGAAATGCGCTCAATGAACGAGACAAACGGGACAAACGCACACCAGGAGGAAGTGAAAAAACGCGAACTGTCAAAGGGACATGTCGACAGAGACGATGTAGCCGACACTCAGGAAGAACAAAACACCTACGAAGAGTGCAGTCAATGCAACAAATATAAAAAATATTACAACAACAACTGCGAAGATTACAAAAATGAGTTAAAATTACTCACGGATGAAACCCCAAATGAAGAAATTCGCATTCAGCTAAACGAAAGTGGTGATCAGGATAAAGAAAACCCAACTACGTACGACAATAAAAATTCAGAGATTTACAAAAAAATTGAAGAAAAATACATGGACATGGATTTGTTTCAAAATATTTTCATTTGGGTTTCTGTAGTTCTAACGGCTAAGATTATATCCTTGCTGGTTTTTTACCTCTTGTCTCCTATCTTTAACATGTTCGTCATGGGAACCATAGCCCACATCACCGACATGAGGTACAAGCTCCTCGTGGTGATGATCATCGTACCTTTCTTCTTCAACTTCATCCTGTACTTTTACATGGATAGCATAGTCAAGACGCAGCCCACGTGCAAGAGTGTAGGTAGCGATAAAATTTAGCCCCATCGCTTTGTTAGCCCCATTGCTTTGTTAGCCCCATCCCATCCTTAGCCCCTTCATTTTTGTCACCCTCTTATCGCGCTCCCCGTGTTGCTCTAACCCTACAACACGCCTCCGTCGATATGGATGCCTCCCCACTTAGTAGCCCCTCTCGTGGGGTCTCTATGTTACCATATCCAGGCGAATCCACATGCCTCCCATCCTCACCTCCCATTCATCACTTTTTTCTTTATTTTTTTGTTTTAACGTATACTTTGTTTTTGTTCCCCTAACGTTCCTTTTGAATGTAGACCAAAACGCATCTTTTAAAATTCTTAATATTAATTTTGATTTTAATTTTGATTTTAATTTTTACTTTATCTTTATTTTTTTTTTTTTTTTTTTTTTTTTTTTTTTTTTTTTTTTTTTTTTTTTTTTTTTTTTTTTTTTTTTTTTTCTTTTTTCTCTTTTCTCTTTTTTCTCTTTTTTTTCTTTTTTCTGTGCTTCCTAATCGTATTAGACGCAAATTGATTTTAAAAAATTAATGATTACATCTTGGCAGTCTATCACAAGAGCGACACACACATCTGGGTGAGTGCAAAGCTGTCCACTTACGTGAACGTACATATCTGGGTATGTCGGCGCGCTCGCACATTTGCCATTCTTGCAGAATGCGCAGCGTGTTGAAAGGTTATGTCAAAAAAAAATAACGATTCATTTGAGAACAAAAAAAAAGGCGAAGCAAAGGTGAGGGAAGTGCAGACAATGCAGTGGAGGCGGCCAGACGAAGCCAAGGCGCCAGAAGGATTATTCAACAAAAAAGGGTAAAAGGAGAAATGCGACACGTGTAACAGGTTAGCGGCGAAACTTCCCAACGAAGTAGCCGCCTTAATAACAGCGCTACACTGCAAAAATAACAAAAAAAAATCAATCGCTGCTGCGCGGAGCCAGGACGCGCCAAGTCAGGAGTCCAAAAACTCGCTGACATTCTGAATGTCGTCAGACGCCGTCTCTTCCGTGGCATCATCGTACGAGCTGTTCACATAAATATTATGCGTAATGATGTTTTCGATAATATTTTGATAATTCTGCTTGTTCCTTTCCTTTTCCTCTTTAATTTTGAAATAATTGTGCAGAGCCTTGAAGCAAAAATACGTAATGAAGACGATAATGCTCAAAATGAAGAGGAACAAAACCCAGTTTACATACTTCTCCTTCTTCGTTAGCCGGTATACTCCCCCTTCTAACACTTCACGAACGATTTCGACTTTGTAGGGGTTTCCTCCAAATTCGTCAAACACGATGACGACGTTGATTCCTTCAATCAGCCAGTCGGTCGGTATGCGCATGTACCGTGTTAGTGGGATACTAATTAAATTTTCATTCGTTGCAAATTTTGTTTTTTTTTCCTTTTTCATTTTTTTTCTTTTTTTTAATTTTTTCTCCTCATTTATTTCATTTTCGTAGCTTTCTACATCGTCCGTTATCCAGAAGCTTCCCAACATGTGGTTGTTAATGTAGACAAACCCGCGACTCAGCCCGTCAATTTCTTTCACCTTCTCATCGTAGGCAGATAGCTTTAGCGAATATTTGGATCTTATGTAGTCCACATTTTTTACAAAATAGAGTAAAGTGTACCACGTTAGAGGCGAATTGATGCTGTTCTCATTCACCTTGCTGAATTTGTTTAAATATTTAAAAATCCCCGTTTTGCAATAATATTTAATTTTGTTAAAAAAAAAGGAGAAAAATCCAGAAGAACACATTTTTATGAACGAATTGGTTATACTTTTCATTTCCGTCTTCTTACCATCCAGCAGTGTTTCGAAGTTCATATTTCTCTGTTCCAGCTTTTCGCTTCGGCTACTTGATGTTGCCCCGTTCTTTGCTCTTTCTTCTCCCCCCCTGTTTAACAAATACGATTTCACATACGTGTAGTCGAACATGTTGTACATCTTCTTGTACACTTCTACGTTTTTCTCATTTTTTATTATCTCCCCATGCAGACCAACACAGCTGTACAAATCGTATTCATTCCTCGTGACGATAAATATGAACGTGTCGGTACTTTCTCCCGAGTAGTAATTGTGCATACTTCTTTCCTTTTCATCGTACATACCGCTGCAACCATTTTTGTTGCTACGCACTTGGAGCGTCGTGTGCTCCAAATCGTCGAAGATAGTGCGTCGTGGATTGCACGTACTGTTTGTAGATTCCTCTTCGTCTGATTCTTTCTGCACATCGCTTTGCACACATGTCTTGCTCCCCTTTTGGTGGTCATCCTTTGTTGAATTCTCTCCTGACTCGTTCATATTTTTTTCTTTTTTTTTTTTTTTTTTTCCTGATTGGGTGTGTGTGTTGAGGGCTAGGTAGCCATTTTGTTCATCCGCTCTGGAGCTTCCATTCATACTCATATTTTTTTTTTTTTTTTTAATTTCATTTTGGCTAGCTCCATCTTGAAAAAAAAAATAATTCCTCTTTAAATCATTCACATTTATGTGGTTGAGGAAGTCCGTTCTGATGTTCTCTTTTGGGAAGCCCAACCCCAGATTTGCGCAAATAATGTAGACCTTCTTCGCGTTCACTAGTTCGATGTACTTGTACTCGTTAAAGCCTCCATAAATAAACTTACCGTCCGCGTACACGTAAACATAAAAGCTGTAATTACTGAGGAACAATTTCACATAGCTGACGTCATCCCTCATCGAAATTATGTACCACTGGAATTTTGTAAAATCGAGGGTCACATAGAAGTGGTTAAGTACATTAATTTCGTGCACATGGTGTACATAATTGTTCGGGAAGAAGTTGGAAAAAATCTTCATATGTTTTGCAACGCTTTTGGGAAGCAGCCCTCCCCTTGTGCGACTTTTTATGTCCTCCTTTTTGTCCTCCCTCAGACACATCAAAGGGCCCGACGTCGCTGCGTTGAGAGAGTACAAATACTTGTCAATCGGGGGATACACCTCCTTTCTGTTAATAAACGAAACTTCATAACTATAATTGAAGGAAGAATCGTAAATAATTTTCTTCTTATATTCATTATACACAATGCAGCTAAAGCTGTTGATGTTGTAATTCAGAGGCCCAACCTTTACATAGGTGCTTCCCTTAATGTTGTGATTGCAAATGATCTTAATAGCGCCATAGTCATACATTTCAATGTTCGTGGATATTTTCACTGCCCGTATGTAATGTTCACTTTTTAGTAAGTGATGCCCATATTTGTATAAAATTTTGAATATCTTCTTAATGTGTGAGTATAGAGGTTCCTTGTGATTAAAGTACAGATCAAGTGGCTGCCCCGTCTCTTTGCTATAATGCTCCAAGTACGTGTGTGTGTTATTTATATTATTGCCACTGTATAAGGGGAATATGTTGAGGAACACCCCTCCCTTCGCCAGGAACACTAATATGTTGTACGTCAGATCTTTGAAGTTTCTTATGTGGCCAATGTAGTTGTTGCTGCTGTATCTGCTTTGGACTCTCTTCACTCCCATATGGATTTCCCCTTGGGGGGGGTCCTCCGAGGAGTCTTCAGAAGGGTCCTCCAAGGACTCTTCAGAAAGGTCCGCCAATTGCTCTGTGGAAGGTCCCATTTCGTCTCCCACTTCGTTCCCCGCTTCCACTCCCGCTTCTCTCCCCTCGTCGCGCTTAAAACTTCTTGACTGGCTCGCCACCAGTTCACTGACAGGGGAAGCCACCGACGGGGAGGAATCATACACGATGGGCTCCTCGAAGTGTCGCCTCAAAATGCTGGGAGAGTTCACATTATGTATGCTGTACTTGGCCCCAGTCCACACCTGTGACCAGATACAAGGCTTGTTCAACTTTATGCACTCATTGTCAAACCAGTTGTTATGAAAAAAATGATTATAGCAGTTGTTCCCCGCATAGGAGTTAATAAACTCGTCTCTAATGAAAGGATAATTCGTCGTCAGTGTGTTTATTTTTCCGAAATGCAATTGTACCAGTTTGTAAATCTCGTTAATGTACATGAGCCCTAATTCGTACTCCTTTAAAATTCTCATATATTGGTTAAACCTAGCATAGAGAACATACCCTAGGGTAAGTATGTAGCTCCTTCTAACCCGTCTGAAAAACTTAATGACACAATGTAGGAAGGATTCCTCCTCCGATTTGGAACCCTTCAAATAGCTCCCCACACTGCATACATTTCGGAAATAGTTCCTTCGTTTCAAATCTATGATTACATACATGTAGTAATTATCGAACGTTTTATCAATGTTCAGGTAAATAATCGGTCCATTATTCACGTTGGCATATTTTTTCAACCGAGGGAGGATGTAGTTAAACCATTTTATAGCCCTCTTAAAATAGTACAAGCTATAGAGGTTATTATATATATGCTCTCCCTTCGTGTAGGAAGATTTCTTCCTATCTATTTCATTTTCTATGTGTTCTCTTTTCACCTTTAGGGGGTCTTCCTCTATGATCACTCTCTTTTTCTTCCCAAAAACATGGTCGGAGAAGTAGTCTCCAATTTTTTTGGTAAATTTCTTTTCTTTTCTTTCCTTCTCCATATACACATGCCTTATGTACTCATTTAACCTCTTGCTGAACAAAACATACGTAGGGATATTCGAATTGTAAATGTTATCAATGTAGGGCCCTATGTCTAAGATGACGAAGAGTCCATTAGACGCACAGAAGTTTAGGAGGTAGAAAAGCTTCGACTTGGTTGTATCATAGAGATCTTCTAAATATTCATTTTCAGGCCAAAAGAGGAAGGTATAGACTGTATTAAAATTTAACTCCTTTATTTTTTTCAGAACTATGTATATGTCTCGCACACTCATATATATGTAAGGTATGTATGCACCCAAGATGAATGTCTTCGATTTGTTAATATAGATAAGTCGATTCACATGGGACACTTCAAACCCGGGTTTCTTCTGATTGTTCTGATTATTCCCTCCATTTTGCTCATCACATGTATGCTTTACAATCTTATACGTTATGATGTTCCTTTCTCTCTCTTGCTGTTTCCTTCCGAAGAGGTCCCTCAATTTGGAGACAAGCACACTCCCCAGCCCTTCATTCTTCTTGGTAGTAGAGCAGGAACAGACAAAGTGCGGTTCTATATTTGAGCCAAAAAGGTACAAGGAGCATATTAAAAGGAGGGGGTTCATTTTAACATAGGGTTAAGGGATCATTTTAACATACGGTTCAGGGTGTAGAGTTTAGGGTTCATGGGTTCAGGGTTCAGGGTGTAGAGTTAAGGGTTCATTTTAACATACGGTTCGGGGTGTAGCGTTATGGGTTCATTTTAAGGTGAGCGGCCTCTTCTCTTGGGTACTCATTGTGTTTCTTCTGCGCATGCCAAATAGGAAAATGATTCGCGGAGACAAAGGTACTTTGTTGGAGGGGGGGTTTCCCCTTATGGCATCCAACTTTACACCGTGTAAAGACAGTCTTCTCTCTGCCGCGTTGTTCGCTTTATTTTGTTTCCCTCCCTTTCGTAATATTCTGATGTGTATCCTTTCCCCTTTTCTTTGGCAGCATAGTGAACTGCTTAGGCAGTGTCCCGCGACCACCTTTTAGCCCAGATTGCAGCACACCCTGAGACTAGGGCCCTCTGGACGATAAACTTTGGATCGCATAAACCGCACGCCTGTGCTCCCTATTTTAATGTCAAAAGGAACAGATGCCAATCGAGTTGCATACATACCAGTATGGGGGCAACCCTGCAAAGGCAAACTCAATTCTTTCCTCTTCCCGCTTCTTTTTTTTTATCACTTCAAGGATAGGAACCTGCCAAGTGGCAATCTTGTACATCGCATGTTTAAAATAATTGCAGATTGGCTAATGTAATAAAGAAAAAAAAAAAAAAAAAATCAAATCAAAAAGCTTCCTTACGCCCTTTTGTAAAGATTCTTTCTGCACATCCTTGGTGCGCTTAAGATGGTTCCCTTTTTCTCTCGAACAAGAAAATTGAAAAAAAAAAAAAAAAAAAAAATGAACTAAACGGATTGCACGAACAGAATATAATACACCACCACCGTACGGAGAGAATTCTCTTTTCTTTTCCCCCTGTATCTGCATCTCCACGAGTAGATATGACGAAACAAACGATTAGCTCATCGTTCTAGTGCGTTCTTTTCCCAACAATCGTAAAGGTTGCAAAAAAAAAAATTAAGCTTTACAAAGTACTATGCATGCTATCCTGTAGGGCCCTTCCACAGGAACCTTTTTTATCTCAACGGAGAAAACCTTTTAACGGTATATACTTGCCTGCACAAAAATAGGAATCTCCCTTCAGGTAAGCAACCCTCGCAACAGGGGTTCCCGAACCTTTTGCGGCATACATACATATCACTGCATGGATGATTTAGCCCGGTGTGGTAGTCTCCCCCCCTTGATATGTGCACATGGGATGTTACAACTCTCATATCTGCGCCAATGGGTGCGAGCATCTTGATATGCATCTTCTACATGCGCAGTCGCCGGGTTGCTACACGCCGCTTTTTCTTGGAAGGCACGGTGAAGGGGTGCACCTGGCAGAACTATCTTCCATCCACGCTACGCCTTCGCAAAAGGGAAGAGAGCAAGTGGGTCTTCTCCCTCGCGCGTCCCATTTGTTATCCATACGGTCTCCTAACACGGACGTTCCACACACACCACCTAAGGAGGATGCCTCCCTTCACCGAATACACACAACCAATCTACCCCCAAAACAATGCCCCAAACTAGCTCCTCCCAACCGATCCTCTCATTAAAAAAAAAAAAAAAACACTACCCCCCCCAGACGCAGAAGCCGCATCAAGAATGAAGAACACCGTGCTTCGAATAAAAGCCGAGTTGGAAAACGTTAAGAAGCTATATTGTGATGATGACTTCCTGTGGGTGTTTAACAGTACGAATTGGAGGAGAGAGCACGCTTCCCCACGCACACACACAATGTGATGCGATGCGATGTGGTGCCAATTTATATGCCTGCCCAGCGTTACCCATCATGTTACGCTCCGCGTCTTACCCACACATCTGCCCCTCCGCATCTCTCAGTTAAGGACTCCACGTCTTCCCTCACCAGAGAGAACATCCAATTTAGGAAGACCGATATTCTGGACATTCCTAACAGCAGGGGGTAGGGATCTACAAATGGGAGTAGCTTTCTTGTTAGGAGGCTTCACAACGGGAAGACTTTCATGGGGGCTATCATGTGTGCCCACATGTTGTTGAGCCTCCTAACAAGGAAGCTACTCATGTCCAGAAAACCCGTTATTCTTATTCTGCGGAGAAACCTTCCCCGAATTATCTAACCTGAACTTCCCCTTTCGCTCCTGCAGAACGGCCAATTTCCTACTAAAGTGGACTGAATATCCGAAATACTCGACTATAAACTTCGTGAAGGTATGGACATGGTGCAATTCGAGAGATACAGATGCATCTCCATCTTCATATCGAAATGCATGCATGCTTTCTCATTATGAATACCAATTTTGCACACATTGTTGGCGGTGTATTTTGTGTACCCCTTTTTACTCCTCCCTGCAGACCAAAAACAGCTGCTCCTACGACAGCGAAGCGGACAACGAGTGGAGAGACTTTGCCACCTTCGAGTGCCGAGGGTACGCCATGGGAGATGCATTTACAAAAAATTTAAAGGAACAGACAAAGCGCTTTAAAACGAGCGGATTGCTTTCGGCGACGGGGCATGGCGACGAAGCATAGCGACGGATGATGCTGAGACAACATGTCGATTGAACGTGTTTCCCCGTTTCTGTTTACCATTCCGCCCCATCGCCCTGCTACTCCACTCCCCCTCCTGCAGGATCGAATTGGTGGAGTTCCAGTCACGCGGCAACTTCATCGTGGAAGACATCAAGGGAAAAATTTACTACGACGTCAATTTGTCTGATCGAAATTGGTGTGACTACAACCAGGTGAGCGTCTGCCCGTGATCGGTGGTTCCTGTGCTGCTGTGTTTTTCGCCACTGTCTTTTTTTTTTTTATTTTATCTTATTTTATTATTTCATTTTTTTCATTGCTCCATTTGGTGTTCCTCCAGAGAAGCGGACCCATCCACGGATGCATACTGAACAAAATGAGCATATAATGGCGAAACTTTTTTTTTTTTTTTTCCCATATAGGACCACGAAATGTGCGTGGGAATTTACAACGTGGAGCATGAGATATATTAAAAGAGAGAAAAAAAATAAAAGTACAAAATGAGGAATGCTACGATTCACTTGTTCTGAAATAGAATTATGGTTTAAAATGTTTCCTTGTTGGCAAAACTGCCAGGCACGAGAATATATGCAGTGCAGGGGACCTTTCAAAAGTTAAAAAAAAAGGAAAATAGGAATAAGAATAAAAATTAGAATAAAAATTAGAATAAAAATGGTTAAAGCCGTTGAAGTGATGGAAGCAAACATAAACGTGATAATGAACGAATCACCAGCAACACGTAATGACGGGAAAAGAAAGACAAGATAAATGACGAACATACAAATGGGAAGAATACATTCTCGCACGCGCAACAACAAAAAAAAAAAAAAAAACGAAAAGGGAAAGGAATATGTATGCGGTGAAAGGACGTAGGAGAATAACACAATAAAAAAAACAGAAAGGGATGAAAGGACGGACAAGATGATGGCGATGATTGGATGAGAGGGATAAAGGTAGGATAAAATGTCATTACAAAGTTGTAAGATGAAATGTGAGTATATACAAAAGGCTAATTCGAATGAAGGAGAGAGGCGGGCGGCTGCATTTTGCCTGCGAAACCGCGCGCGCCCAGGGGCTCAAAGAAATTTACGCGCACGTATGCAAACTGTGCATAACGTTGCCATTTTAATATACCTTCCTTCTTAAGCTTATTTTTATTTAAAAAAAAAAACACATCAAGTACGCATGGAAACCTGCACTTCAGACGAATTCGTTTCCCGCTTAATCAAACAACTGGCTACAATGTGTACGAAGGCACAAACGCAACTGATCAGAGCTGACATGCCCGCCCTACTTTTCTCCTCCAGCAACAAAAATGTGCTTGTGGCGGAGCCTCAAACTGGCCATTCCTCCTATAGACGGGGAGAATTATATCCTTCTCACTGTATAATGCTTCCATTTGGGGGGCTCACACTCTCCCTCCGGGGAGATGATGGCACCACTCCGTTTTTTTAAATGCTTCCCAAGAGACTCCACAAACTATACCTTTATCTAGAAATAGCCCCCACAAGAAGGAAATTACTTCACTTTCTGTGGTTGCCTCGAAAAATCATTTTTTAAATCATCCCCCGTGGTATCGTATTATCATCTGCATATTCAATTGAGACATTCTTCTTGTCCTCCTACTATGGCGCAAACGCGCGGGGGATCTCTTAAAATGTGGAAACACTTTCTCCATATATTCCATTCTTGCGTCAACAACTCTTCCCCTAATTGATAGTCTATATAACTAGCTTCTCTCTGTTGATAGCTCTACCCACCCTCCTTTTTTCACTCTGCTGATTCAAAGTTTGCTTCTTCCGATTAGGTTCGCACTAGCCATGTTTTTTACTCCCACCGATGGAGTCTCTTCACTAAGATGGCCAAGGTACAAATGTGCGCCTCTATATCCTTTTAGCTTCAAAAAAAGAAAAAAAAAAAGCTTCACATCCCTGCCGATTAATTCCATCAAAGTAGATGATATCTTCTCGTTCGTTCTAAGGTGCATATTGAGTTGTTCTCATTTCTTCCCCGATGAGCTGCCCTTATACTCAGCATGCTTCACATTTTTGGAGGAAAAAATTTCATTGAAGTTGTTGAACATATCGCTCTGGAAATCCGAATTGAGCGAATTCGATGCGAAGTTCAGTGTCAACTTGTTCAGCTTGTAAAGGGGATTATTGTGAAGGGTATTCTGAAGGGTACTCTGAACGTTTTTGTAAAACTCCTCTCTCGAGTGCTGCCTCCTCTGGTGAGCTAGGAAGGACGTCACTGAGTTAATCCTAGCTGGGACACCCATGGAAAACTGGTACACATTGCCATGGTCGAAGCAGGAGTGATTCCAGTACTCATGATAAACGAGTGCACATGCGCAGAGAAAGGCAGACAGGAGGAAGTAAAAAAGACACCTAAAGCGTCTATAAATTGAAATAAAGGGATACACAATGGATACCACTGCGATGACATAGAAGAGACCAAGGCCTTTGTCGATATCTTTGCGTCTCATGTCTGGCCTGTAATTGTGTATACTCTCCATATTCTCTGCAACCCCGTCCAGCATTTGGCTTCCATGCATCATTTGGCTCCCGTCCATGGCATTGATAACCACGTTAAAGGGTTTGAGAATGGCGTCGATATCGTTACATAGCACTGAGTGTCCCTTCCAGGATATAAATTTATCCACGTGTCCGCCTTTTGTCTTTGGGTAAAAATCTTCCACATCCATTGGGGTTAACAGATCATTTGGTCGTTCCTCCGAAAGGTACTTCCTCTTATGAGAGAAGAGCATATCATTCATCCTTTCGGCATTATTCGCGCCATCAATGGTGCACTTCCTCCTCTGCCTTCCATTCCCAAATTTTAACGTCTTCCCCGTTTTGGTAAAGGGGTTGGCCATAAATAGGCCGTGCCCTCCTTTGAATTTTCCGATCCTCCGCCCATTGAGACGTTTCAAGTTTTGTCTTTCTGACAGGGGGATGATCATTCCACGATCGACGGAGGTGATTCTACTTTTGGTCACGAAGACGTGGTGTAACTTCCATGGGCGGGCCACTCCTTCGTTTACTCGGTGCGAATACTCTGCATATTCACCATCCATCGGATGATCACCCTCGTATGTGGACGGGCGACCAACACGAGGTTCTGCGCCCATTTGAACCGCATCCCTCTTTAGGTTCTCCCGCACGATGTTATCACCATCGTATGCTCCTCCTTCCATGGGAAGCACTACCGCTTCTTCCTCCTCCCTTAGGAGAATATCCTCGTCCACTTTATGCACCTCTCTCAAAATTCGGCTCCTAATTTTGGTATCACTAGGTGTAGCGAGCGTTATGCTGTCCTTTGCCTCCTCATCTACGTCGGTTAAATCTTCTTCCTTCCCAGTTGAGGATAACGACTTGTCTGATTTTTTCTCCTTCGTCTCATCCTCTGAGCTTTTTCCCTCTGACGATTCACTACCCTTTGCCTTTTCCCCCTTCGTGGGTGGCTCCTCCCCCACATTTAACGTATTCGCATAGGCTGCCTCTGCTTCTTCCACCGCTTCGATTGCTGCAGCAGCTTCTCCGAGTTTCGAACCTGCTGTTCCTCCTTGGTTACTTTTCCTTTCACTTGGATCGGGATCTCCTCCCTCTATTTTTTCCTCTTCTTCGCCTTTTTTTTTAATATTTTTTTGATTTTTCGAGTTGGAGCTCCTCTTACGTTTATTATCCTTCCCTTTTTTCTCTCCTGCGCTTCCCTTTTTCTTTTTCATTTTTATAATTTTTACTTTTATCTTCCTTCCCTTCTTCTTCTCCTTCACCTTCTCCTGCTCCTCTTGTCTTCCCCTCCCTGATTCATCCTCCGATTTCTCTGCTACCTCAAATGAGCTACTACTGCTTACACCAGAAGGGGCACTACTTTTGATGCCAGAAAACTTCGCATGCTCTTTTGTCGAAGGAGGAGGAGAAGAAGAAGAAGTAGACGTAGAAGTAGGAGCATTCTCTTCATCAGAAGAATCACTCTTCATAGGATCGATGGACGTTTGATTCATTTCGATATTAACTCCACCATCACCATTATCAACAATCTGTGCAAAGGAATTACGAGCTTGTCGATCGGCCATAAACTGTACAGCCAGGGATGAATCCTTTTCTACATCGAGTCCTAGTTCTTCCCAAAATTTTTCTAACTTTTTCTGTGTCCCTTCTTCTAAGGTACGTAGCTGGTCCTGCGTCAAATCAAACCATTCATCAATCCAGCATAGTGCCTTACGATGATACTTAAATAAGCTGTTTTTTATCACACTGACAATCCAGTTCTCTAATTTGGAGGAGAGGATTCCAAAATAGGGCACGTCTATATTAAACAACTTATAACATGTTATAATAACTTTGCTATTTTCAATCCAATCTTCTTCCAGTTTTCCTCTTCGTGCTTTTTCACTGTAAAAAATGGTTGGATCCTCCTGAGGTAAGTAACTCGTGTAGGATACGTTATCGTTCACTATATCGATGAGGACAACTTGTCTCTCTTTTAGTAAGTCCTCCGAAATGTTAAAGGGATTATCCTCCGTATTGTAACCCATATGATACGTTGATTCCACCTGTACATGTGCCTTCGGGAAACCTGTAGCTTGATACACTGACTTCATAAAGGGATTAGTGCTCCATATTTTTTCATCTATAAGGCAACATTTTGGATCTACAAAATTTAGTACCCATTTGGGGATCTTATTTACAAAATTCATTCTTTTGAAACTGTAATATCCTGGCTTCCCACTTCCATCATCAAATGATTCCATTTTAGATACCACTAGGGTTCTTATATTTGTGTTTCCATTCTTTCCCACTCCGTTGATTGTATTATCTGCATCCTCGTTTGACACTTTTGACATTAGGTACCGATAGCACGTGTTGTATTCCTCCTTGGTGAGAGGAAGGGGCAGTCTGAACTCGATTAGCTTCATCTTGGGGGGATAGCGATTGGGAAGTTTGCTTTATCCGTTCGTTAGTCTGTTTGTATGTTCGTTCGTTCGTTTCTTTCTTTTTGTTTGTTTCTTTTGAGGAGGGATCTTGGCTGCTCGACGCGGATTGGAATATATACAAGGGATAAATTTATGTACGTATATATGGGACCCAGTCACTTCGCCTTAGAAGCTCCGCCTCAGAAGCTCCGCCTCAGAAGCTCCACCTTGGAGGCTCCGCTTTAGCTCCCCGCTAGGCACACGTTCGGGTGGGTTCGTTCAAAGGTAATAACTTGGCGCTCGCCGTGCCAGGAGGATCAGGCTTATCCAACTGAGGGGGGCCTGCAACGTGGGACGACCTCTCATTCATATGGTTAGGCAGGCACGTGTAAACACTTCGAAGCGCCGCGAATCTGTACTCGTGGATGTGGCTTCGACCTCGCTATGCAAAAGCACGAAACGTTCTATCCCCTGCTCCTATTTTAGTCCATATGATATTTTGGCTGCCATGTGGTAAGGATCTATCTTTCCATGATGAAATAAAATTATGATAGGGGAATCTTCGAAATGGAGAAAATTTCTAGCTTTGGCAATCTGCGTTGCTCCGAAGGTAGTCAAATATATGCGGAGAGTAACTGTTCATATATCCTCTTTCTTTTTGGGACAAAAATAATGCTACTGATCGATCGATCGAACGATCGGTCTCAATTGGGGATGAATTTTATTTTTTCATCCAATTGTGTTGCTTTGATCAAACTGACTCTCCTTTTTTTCTTCTGGTGAATATGCTGCTATATTCTTTTTGGTTGTTTTGTTTCTTTTTATCATTATGATGAATTATATTTTTTTTTCTTCTTTTTTTATCATTATGATAATTATATATTATTTTTTTTTTTTCGTTCATGTCATCTTCTATTGTTTATCGCAATTTCGCGGTTTCGCAAGTTCGCGGTTTCGCAAGTTCGCGGTTTGGCGATTTCTGCGCTTCCGTACGATGAATTATGGACCATAACTAATGACTATAATTGTAATCGCGATTATTGCGATTTCTGCGGTTCTATTGTCATTCGCGTTATTTTGGATTATTTTTTTTTTTCATATTTTTTTTTATATATTTTTTTTTTTTGTTATTCTAAAAGCTTCGAAAAAAAGGTCCGCAACTGGGAGATAATTTTTTACCACGATTCGAATTCCATTCCATTCGATACGATTCGACCGTACTCGACCCGATCCGTTTTCGCCGATATGTATTATGTATTCATATTTCCATCTTTTCTCCTTTTTTTTTTTTTTGCCTCTTCTCGCCCTCTCTTTAGAACTTAAAGTGGCGAAACAGCGAACAGATAATACAAACGTGCATATAAAATGCGGACATGCGCCAGTGGTAGTATCTCATCCGACCCTGCTTCCGCTTCCTGCTGGCCTCAGTCCCTCATGGGCTCATAACAACTGCCGATGCACGAATTCCTTTTCGCTACGATTCCCATTAGAAAACGTCACGGTCACTCTCCTGCTCGTGTGCACAAATGAAATGGCTCACGCGAACAATCGTCATTCTGTTGCAAAGTACAATTTAAGTACCTGCGCAGATAAGCATCTCCTACTTACGCGAAGAGTATAGGGCCCTTCCAATGGGAGGAACAAATAAATAATTTCTTCATCTTCTTTTGTATTGTGTGTATGTAACGTATACTATAGTACGCACTATGCATGTATGGTAGGTAGCGGCCCTTTTAAAAAAAAAAAAAAAGAAACACCAAACTATTTCTTGCCCTTTAAATGGCAAGTTTTAATATCCATGCCAACATTATGAATGTCCTAAAAGTTTACCTGCTAGTTTTAATTTGCCGTCCTTCCATTTGCACATTTTTTAATTCATTCGCCAAGGGCCAATTTGGCAGCTCCGCGGGGAAGCACAAATGTACAATGGTACAGTAGTAGTACGAAACATTGCAATGATACTGCATCAGTTATGAATAAAATTGGATCCTCCCATCACTCTCCACTCTTCGCGCATGCGTACGGATGATCTGCTCCGCAGAAAGGCCAAGTGGTCCCATTCGTCTCACTTGCTTCCTCTTAAAAGTATCTGCGCCCATGGTCGGATTTTTAAAACTCCTCGTCAGCGTGAGAAAAAAGAAATCCACTCCTGCGGAGGCGCTTTATATATTTATCGCTCAGATAGCAATTTCCTGAGCCCGCATATATACAGAGGTAATTATATTCTCCACGTGCTGCCGGACGTATTGTACTACGTAGATCAAAAAGCAAAACTGTCGAGCGGGAACATGGCCAAACGTATACCGCAGTGCCAAAACATTGCTTCGCTTTGCTGGGCTGAGATGAGCCGAATTGACCCCCCCAATAATCCACGTACCTACGCTGTCCGAACCCCTTGCGCGTTCGCTTAATCCAGAAATGTCGCATCCCCTAAACGTAAGTCCATTCAGTATGTAACTCCATTTAGAAAGAAAAAATTATTTAAAAAAATGTCTCTCTTTGGGGGGATCATATTTTGTTTTTCCTTCTCCGCTTTGCTGTACGTACAGTTGTATTCACCTATGTACACAAACAAGCTATGTGCACGATCTGACACATGCAGTGCATTTTTACTCTTCTCTGTCTTTTTCCTTGAAACAGAGTAGCAACGAAAATGCAAATAATAATTATATTCATGCGGGGACATACTTTTTACGGAACTATATCTGATTGTCCCAATTGGAGGATTTTTTCTTTTTTTCTTTTTTTTGAACTTATTGAAGCATGTTTTCTTCCCCAGGGGAAAATTCCAAAATTAAACAGCACTAAAATGAGCTTATACAACTTTCATTCATTTGCAACACTCTGTACGAGCCATTTTGCCCCTCCGATATTTGCCTTCCTAACGGTGCGCGTCTCACAAGGGTTTATTCAGAAAAAAAAAAATGCTCCTCCGCATACACATACATATAGTTGCATCCTTCATAACGAAAAAAATAACTCTCGTGTTACGTCTCAGGGGAAGACTCCCCTTAATGTTGTCAGGTGAAAGTTTCGTTTCACGCCCCAATCAATTGCTCTCTCGTAACACACTTCTTTTCTTGTCCGATCGTTCTATTACCCGTTTACTTCTTCCCCCTTTTCGGTGAGTGCCATGCGTCCAGGGCCATAGTCACTCCAGAGATGCTCACTCCCAGGAGCACCCTTCCATCCGCTTCTTTCCCCGAAACGTGCGTTCCTCACCGCGAAGATAAAAAGGAAAAGTAAATCACGTTAACATGCCGGGTGGTTAAGCAGCCTCTGTTGGGGGGTCCTGTTGGCGGCATAACATGAGGGTCTCTTCACATAGGTCCCCTTCCCACCAGCCATTTCTTCTTTTCCCGCGCTTTGTCATTTTTTTTTGCCTCCCTGTGCCAATCTGCAGATGAGCCTATGCATACAACACTGCGCAATTCTCGTGGCGAAAAAAATGTATCACATTCTTTACGCATATCAAAGGGAAAAGACAATTGGGGCAGGCGGCCTCCAACACCGGTGGAAGGTCCCAATCGGAAATGTCACACTGATGCAACTGGTACAAATCCATTCGTGGGTTAAAAAAAAAAAAAATAAGAAAAAACATCACTTAGAATGCCGCACCATCCCACTTGTCAACAGAATATGTGCGCTTAGAAATACGCAACTGCATATGCCCCCTCGCAGGGACACCCCAAATTTTATTTCAACAGACGTTTGAGTACCTCCATGGATGTGCAGCACGAAATGGTTGGTACACTATCCAGCAGAGCTTGTTATTCCCTATATGTTCTATTCCGAAAGGAGATTCTCACGGCAGTTTTATTTACCCACCCACATAGCGGAAAAGAAATTTATTCACAAATGTGCGCAACGGAAAAGGCACGGACATGTCACTCCGTGGTGACATTATCGGGAAAAAAAAAAAAAAAAAAAAAA